AGACATTGCTGGCTTCCAGTTCTTACAACGTTGGGAAATGGGGAGTAATACTTCTTACACAGTAGGTAGATTTCAGTTTTTTTTCTTCTCTCCAGCTACTTTTACATGAAAATTGAAACTTGATAAAACTAGTATTAGTTTCCATGTAGTAGTTAAGATACTTAATTTTAGAATTAAAAATTCTGATACTTTGTACTTGAGAGCTGGGCTGTCAGGCAAAGGAAGCATTTTCTCCAGTTATCAAACAGAGCTGATTGGTGTAATCATCCTGTTCTTTCGGGTTTTAAAGTAGGTTTCTGACTTTCACATTAACTGTTAATTAAAAAAAATCTGGATGAGCAGAACAAGGTCTCTTTGGCTAATTTCCAGCTGATTTGTCAGTGTCAAGTTGGCTTCATATTTTCAGGAACTAATCTGAAAGTGGTGTTGGGGGAGTAATTCTGCTCTGGCGGAGCAGCTCTCCCTGTCAAAATCTGGTTTATCACTTCAGCATGCTCAAGCTGCTGGAGCTTAGCCAGCGCCTCACATGGTGCCAGACTTTCAGGCTGTGAGCAGACGTGTCCTGCTTGATACGTTACCTTTAAAAAGGACTTTGACTACAGCAGTCTTGGTCTGAATTGAGGTTTTGTAACTTGGAAACTTCACAATAAATTGGTTTGGTTTTTTATAATTGCAGTAGTATTAACATTATAACCAGTTTTGGAACATGTATGCTACTGGCACGAGGACTGGAGGAGCTTGCAGAGTGCTGGGCCTGGGGGTGCATCACTCCCCAGTCTGAGACTTACCTGGGACCTTTTGGGTGGAGCTCTGCTCGAGCTTCTGACTGCTGCTTGTCTTACAGGGATGGTGTCAGAAGGGGCAGAGATGAGAAAAGAAGCAACTGGCACAGATGTGTTGAAACTTGTGAGTAAAGTCAGTGCCCTGGAGGAAACCTCAACAGCTATTACTCCCCCGACATCCTCAGCTTCTGCGAGTGCCTGGGGTGGTCGGTCTGCACGCACCATAGTCAAGGATGTGAACGCAGAAGTGCTCAGGAGCGGAGTTGCCTGCCTGCCTGGTGAGTAGCTGACCCAGAACGTGTCTGGGAAGTGGGGTTTGTAGGAGGGCAAGGGAGATGAGCCTCTGTTAGCAGTGCTGCAGACTGCTGCCACTTCCATTTCTTCCACTCCAAACCTCTCCAGAAGCAACACTTCTTGAATCCTCTAAAGTTTCTGGATGGGAAGGACAGGAAGTAGAACTTCCCTCTCATGCAGCTAATGTTAACTTGCTCTAGGAGTCTCAAAATGTTAACTAAGTGTGTGTGAGTCAGAAATGCCAAATCTGTGGGCTCATCCCAGTAGTTCAGAAAGAAGAGAGTGAGGGTGCAGCTAATGATGGGCCGGTGGGCCTGACATCAGACCTGGTCGAAACAACAGGGACTTGATTCACTTCGTAGATAATTAAAGGATAGGAGTTTCGAAGATGCTATTTGATGGTGCTCTTGTAAAACCAGTTTTATTCTTGGTAATTAGAAGTTTGGTTGATTAAATGTAGCTGGCTAGATATAATAAATTTTTGGAAAACATTTGATTTCATGACACATAGTGTTGAAAGGAGTATCCCAGTGAAGTGTGGATGAACAACATGTGGGATGAACGATAGCATAGCTAAACAGCAGATGACAAAACTAGCTATCAAGGGAGGACTTCCCAGAATTGCGAGATCAGTTGTAGGTCAAACATTCAGTGTTTGCATCTGATGTGGCAGCAAGTATCAAATTGCTGCAGATAAAACTTCTGCAGGGGAGGAATATTGACAGAGTGGTAAACAAAGCTGAGGCTGTTGGACAGAGCAGCCAGGATCGCTTGGTGTGCAGGGCCCCCACTAGAGGTCTTTGCGTTTAACCAAATATGAAGTAAAACAGAGGCAGCAAGATCTACCTCTCCAGTGCGAAACAGCTGTTTGGCAGCATCTGTGTAGGCCGCCCCTGTGGGCTTGCTTCCTTCCACAACCAGTGAGAGGGTTGTCCAGTGAGGGGCAGGAAGATACCTGCATTCGATCAGCTCAGGAGCAGCATACGAGTTGAAAATTGGCCAGAGTGGTCAGGTGGACCTGTGCAGTGTGGAGAAACTGGAAAGGAGAGCAGAAAGGCAGCTCAGTGCTGGGGCTGCAAGACCAATTTTGACCTCAGATTTGTAAAGGAAAGGAGATGACTAGCCAGATTAAGAAAGTGATTTTTACCTCTGTATACTCGTTGGTGATGCCTCTCAAATAGTTTGGACTATTCTGATGCCTTCATTCTAAAAGGAAATGGTGAATGTTGGAGGTGGTGCAGAAAAGGGTGCCAGCCCTTTCTTGTAACTGAATTGGATGTCTTCTGCAAGAGACTGGAAAGTTGTTTGTCTCATAAGATGCTTGAGAATGGGGTGAAAACACTTTTGTGGAGGAAAGGGAAATAAGACTTTTCCAGTCTTCTGGAAAAAGGTGAAATGAGAAATGGAAGGCAGGGCTGAGTTGTGGTACATTCAAACATGTAACTTTGCATTGATAGGTTAACTGCTCAGAACAAATTCAGAGGAGAATTTCTAATCTTCTGATCGGCTGATCAGGTTGGATGTTTTAGGGTGTGTACAACACACAAAAAATCACAGGGTTCAGGAGAGGGGTCTCTAAGAGAAGCTCATAGTCCATGCTGTTGTAGAAGCCTGACTATGCAATGTAGTGCTCTAGTTGTTTCCTTTGTCACAGATTCCTGTCATAATGTACAACAGTTGAACGAGGCAAATGCATTTAAATACGGGATGAAGAGATGTGCCCTTGAAATGCACTGAAGAGACGAGGTTTGGGTTTGATACCACTTCCAAGGGCCTTTTTGTTTAAGGGAGGAATTATGTTTTCTGGAGAAGCAGTATCGGATTTGACTGACATCTCTTCTCTCACGTGTCTCCTTTTGGATACAAGTGGGCAATCCCCACATCTGAGGGAATGTGCTCACCACTCTGTTAAATGCTTTGTTAGACATTGGTAGTGATATAATAATGCTATTAGAAAGGATAACTTTTATGATGAATAGTGAATACGAGCTAATTAATAAACTAGTAGCTGATGGAGTTAGGAAGAGATTTCCCCTTTCAGAAGGGTTTCATTCCTGCATTCTGCTCTTGAATCATCTGGTTATGCTACTGCTGGAGACCTAGCCCTGGTGGCTGTGGTTGCTTTTTTGACCTGGTCAGGCAATTCCCAGGCTCCTATATGGAAGTTCAAGGTTTAATAAAGTTCTGGTGGTGTCCAGCCTCCCTGAGGGACAAAAGATGTTGCTTCAGATTAGGAAAGTTTTTACTGACTTTAGTTATTGAGCCATTTTTTCCTGTAATTGAGTGGTTTGGGTTTTTTTCCTGATGATCCCCTTAGCTTATGAAAAAAGTATATTAATATACTTATTTCTTATTTTTTTCTTATTTCTCTCCAAGTTCTTTGATTATACTGTGTCTAGACCATTGTATTTCAGGAGTAATAAAACTCCTCCTGAATCACATGGACGATGAAAGATTTTGTCGCTGCTGCTAGCAGGAGAATTACTGTGTCACAGTTCTGGTCCCTGGGAGGGAGAAAGCCCTGCTTCTGAACGATGCCCATCTGTGTCTGTGGCCTGTACTCAAGTCACGTCCTAGTGACAGATTGAGATCACACCAGAGCAGTTTTCTGTGCTTGGGGTTGTCCATCTGTATCTGTTTTACCTGTTGGCTCATCCTTGTCCCTGGGATGGGGAGAGAGGTGGCCCAGGACCGCATGTCCAGTGGTAGCAATAAAGCTCAGAAGAGACAGAAAGACATGGCTTTCTCTAAGCCTCTCATTTTGTCTTGTGCTTGGTATTTCCCCCCTTACAATTTGTGTGACAGGAAATGGCTCCTGTTCTTGTGGATGACTGTTCACACGATAGAGGTGTAGTCCCTACTGTTCTCCAAATCCGTACCTTCCTGGTGACGCAGAGCACTTGTCACTTGAGTTGGCCCACTCCACAGGCATTGCTTGCTTTTGAATGGCGGAGGCAGCTCTGGGTCTCTGAAGTGGCGTGTCCGCTTGCTGTTTACCTCTCCTTTGCATGTGGAGAGGAGGCTGGATGCAATTCCAGAAATGTCACTTTTATGTCCTTCTCTTCAGAGTTCTCATTGTACATTGTGGCTAAAGCCCAAAGCCTGACTGTCATTTAGTTTGGGACCTCGTAGAGCAGGCTTGGTTCCTGTGATGAGCTGTCATTGGGCTTTTGGAAAGCAGGGGCAGAGAACTGCTCTCATGGCTAAGTAAAGCAGAGGGGCTTCTCCTTCCTCAGCATATCACAACTCAGCTGTGTTGCCCGTAGTGTGCCTTATCTATTCCCTAGGCACTGAGCAAGCTCTGAAACTAATGAAATCCTGGCACTGACTCTGCCTTTATCAGAGCTGCTAGCAGGCAACAGTGTGCTCTGGGGCTGTCCTCCCTGCAGCCTCTGAGGAGGAGCTCTGGGCACCTGCTCCAGGGCTTTGCTCCCAGGAGATGTCTGGCTACGTGCTAGGCTCAGCCTGCAGTGTGCTTGCCCAGTCTCATTAGGTAGCACACTCAGTTCTGCAAACCCATCTGCATTCTCTTATCTGACAGCAATGTGAATATTGTAACACAAGTGGAGGTGAGATTATTTATCTTGAGTTTGAGATTCTTGCTTTTCTCAAATGGTTGGGTTATCGTTAGCCAGCTTCAGCCGTGTTTTATGAAGAATGTGTATTTGGGTGGAAGAGAGCAGTCCAAATTTAATGCTACCATGAGATAAAGACAAGCAGTGCTCAGCTACTTCACTCTGGGGCAGCATTTGGGTGTTTGGAAGTGAGTTTATAGCCTACTGTAATCTGCAACATACACTATATCTAGTTCTGCAGAGCATTTCCAGGAAGGTCATGGGGTGGTAGTAAGGGAGTAGGAGGCATACGCACCTGGAACCAGGCTCTGACTTCCTTGTGTGACATTCCCTCTCCCTCTCTTTACAGGTACCAGAGATAAATCAGGACGTGCAGTGGCCATAATAACAACAAGGAACACAGCCTGGTTAAACCCCCACTGCAACACCACTGAGCTTGTACGCCTGCTTCTGTACTTGCATAGCATCCCAAGGTTTGTGACCCCCTTGGACTGACAGGGTGGACACGGCTGCTGTGTCCGCTTTACCTTTCAGGGCTGTGGAAGCCAAGGCAGCAAGTGGAACGGGCTGTCTTGGTTGGCCTAGGAGCCTGGTCCAGACAGTTCCGAAATTGTACAGGTGGGGATCTTCTGCTAGGGTGAACTGGCTCATGTTCAGTAAGCACTTTAGCTGTTCTGTGTGTGCCTTGTGCACATGGTGTGATTGAATTCAGTATGTAATGAGTGTTTTCATGCATTGCTGTGAATCCAAGACATTCTTGCTATCCTTCATTAGCTCAGAAAATGGAATTTGAGACCTATAATGGGCAGTCATGGAGCAGCTCCGTGATACAGTGTTGTGACGTGGTAGGCTTAACCCATGAGAAAGAAACAAGGCATGAGTACCAGAAGCTTACGCTTCTCCCTTCAAATCTGATTCTGGGCTAGACGGATGTTGGGTCTGATCCAGAATGGCTGTTCTTGTGAAGCAGCTAAGACCAAGCTTGTCCCTGCAAACAATTAGGAAGGACTGGTTTTCCTGTGTGGAGTACCCAGAGCAGGTACCTTTGGCATCAATGAGATGTGTCCTAGGAACTGGAGAAATAGGAAGTTCAGGTGGAAACAGCAAAGGTAAAAACTGAGCAATCCAGGTGGTGGTTTCCATGTATTTTGGTTAGGAAAAGGTGACCAGTTAGTTCCCTGTCCTTACAGAGCCTTAGTGTACTGTTTTCTTTCACCCTGTCGTGGCTATGGGTTCTGTTTCCATAGTCTTGTTGATTTTCATTGGTGACAAACGTGACCTCTCTTTCTCTGTCCTTGCAGACCAGAATGTCAGGCTTTGGGTCTAACTGTGCTCGTGGATGCTCGTCGCTGTTCACCGGTTCCTGCTCTCTTCAAGGCGTTCAGCATATTGCAGGTGAGCCGTGAGCTTGGGCAAAGGAGCACTAGTTGGCTTGCTGTCTTGGTTGGACGTTACATCTCCTTCTGCTGCTTGTGTCTCCATCTGCCGCCTGGCTTTCAGCTGGCTTTGGGAGGTGGAGTTATGCATCCAGCCCTGTTTTAGGAGGATGACCAGAACTTGCCAGACTGCAGACACAGCAAAAAACCCTGAGCAAGTTTGAGTTGGGGGAGAACGCTCCACCCCACCCCTCCAAATTTGCTTCTGTGTCTGCTGAGAACAGCCTGTACCCAAGTCTAAACACTGTCATGAATTATGGTGCTTGGAGAGGTGTCCCTTGCACAGAGGGGCTGTGTGAAATATACAGGGATCTCTGCCCACCCTGGGAAAGGAAAGAATCGAGGCCTGCGCCTGGTGCGCAGCGAAGGACACTGTCGTGCTGGATGGAAGAGCGCACACAGCTGTCGATGTGGCTGTCGGTGAATTGGACATGCTGTAATGCTCTACTGCTTCAGGTCAAAGGCTTTCATATCAGTCACTTGGAAAGCAAGTGGGTTGTGTTGCCCCTGCTCCCAGATAGAAGCTATCTGCTGCTGTTAGAAAGCCAAGGAGATGCTGGGTTGTAGCTATGACTCATGTTTGTTTAAGCAGGTGTTCCTTTTAAACCAGAGCTTAGGTGTCTCAGGACTCAGACTCTGCAGACTGGAATAGGGCAATGTTTTAATGAGGCTGGTGTCTCTGTGGTTTACATGCTGCAGTGCCACATCTGAGAGTTGGGGCTTAGTCAGAGGGCTGTCCTCCAGCTTCCTGGGCTGGGTGTAGCTGTCAGCCCTATCAGTGTGCTCCTTCTCTGTGGTGAAGGAGTAATCTGGTGCCCTGCTCAGCTCTGCAGAGGCAACAAGCAAGTGATCTTCTCTTTTATGCTGTGCCCACATGGCAGTGGGCTTGCTAAAGCTTTTGAGCGCTTTGTTGCCCATGGTTGTGTGGTCGTGTCTTAATGTGCTGTGGAAATCAGCAACACATTGAGACACAGCGTCATTTTTTGGGTCCCCAATCTCATACAAGCATGGCAGGAATAAAGCCATTCTAACCTGAAGTTTCCTAGCCTCTGAAGCAGCGGGGGGGAAGCTTTTTGCATTGCCTCTGAAATATCCTGCTGTGATGGCTGTTTGACTCTGAGCAGCTCATTATCAGGGTGGTGCAACAGTTAGTTAACAGGAATTAATGTGTTTCAAGACAGATTGCTGGAGCTGAGTGTGTGCTCCAGGTAGCTGACTGACAGGCTGATTACCCTGACTCTTCTGCAGACTCTGTGAACAAGACCTGTTCAGCTAGCTCATCATTTGGTTATGGCACAGGAATAATCCGCTGGCTCCTCCAAGCCATTTGGAGATCCTTAGCCTTTACCTCTGGTCCCACGGCAGTACTCTCATCTGCTCTGAAACAAGGATCGAGAAATACGGAAAAGTGACTGTAACCGCAGTGAGGCAAGCTAGGCTTTCTAGAGCAGAGCAAGGTTTGCTGGCTAGTGGATACAGAAGCACAGACTGTATATTGTGCCTGTAAGGTCACAACACATCATCTCCTTGGGGTCCTTTCTGAAATCCCTGATGCATCTCCCAGTGTCTGTTACCTCTGGCAGACTGTCTCTGGGCCTCACTTCTCTGCTGTTCTGCTCTCCAACAAGATTATAAAATCCTGGCTTTTGTGAAGCCTGTTATGATAATGTAGGTGGAATCTGTTAAATGTTGAGATCCAGTGTTGCTTGTTGAATTTTGAAGGGACATTTTCCTCTTGAGCAGTGAGGAGCGCTGCTTTGCAGTGGGTGAGCACAGACTGGATGACCTAATGCAGAGTCCCTTCCTGCTGTGGTGTTGGCATCTGTTAACCCTAGAGAACCTCCCGGGGGAGGGAAGACTGTGATCCCACAGGTTTCTGGGACAAGATCTGTCAGTCTGAGAAAGTACTTACGCCACTCTTCCGTCCTTCTGGAATAAATGCGTGAGTGGACTTTTTTAAGTGCTAATAGACAACTTCTAGTGCTTGCAGGTAGCTTTCCCTACAGCGCTGGGAGACTCAGTTGCTCTGTCTAGAGCCACCTAGTAAACTGGTGAAAGCTTCTCATCCTCGCTGCCTTCAGGCTGGGGGGAGTTGTGTTCTGCAAGACTTTCTTCTCCCTTCCTCTTTAGAATATGGGTGGCCGGGCACTGCTGGAAATCCTTCTGTCCCAGACAGCACTGGGAGCAGAGGCAGAAAAAAGCGCTGCAGCAGAGCTAACTCAGGAAGGAGCAAGGAAGAACTCTGGCAGCTCCATACAGAGGTGAAGGGAAATGTGCAGTGCGTACGTGCTGCAGGAATAGAATATGCTTGTTCCTGTGGGAAGCTGCACAATGATGCTTTGGAGCAAGGATTTTTGTGGAGTTAAATGCTACTGTGATGTTTGGTCACAGGTGGTCACTGGTAAGCTCGGTGCTGCAGAGCCCGTTCAGAGGAGCGTTGCTGCTTGCTAGCGCTGGGCCAATCCCTTAGTCAGCGAGTAGGCAGCGGAGTTCCTCTGCACAGTGTAATGCATGCACAGGCCTTCAGTGAACAGGTATCTGTGGGGTTTTCCTCTGACTCCTTACTGAGTGAGGCTCTTCTGAATTTTGCGGATCGGCACAAATGCTTAATGCTGTAATCTGCTGTGTCTGTGCGTTGGATTTAGAAGGAAGAGTCTCTTTATGAAGACAGAGATACAGTAGCAGTTCGAAGCAGAAAACTTTGGTGCAAGCTTTGCCATTCAAGGAATATATGACATGCCCTCTCCCTGCAGAAGTGCAGAGGACCTTGGTCTGACCAGGGACCTCCTACTGTTTCGTGAGAAGTGGTCACTTTCAAATTGAACGTGGTATGTGGGGACTGTCCCATCGCACAGGTATTCCTGGCAGCCTGTGCTTCAAATTGTGCCAGTGATGTGAAGTCTGGCCATGGGCTTCCATTTGGGTCAGGAGACCAGAAGGCTGTTGGAAACATCAGTCTGAGAAAGATGGAAGAAAGTACCCAATTCTCTTGTTAAAGAATATTAATAAAGGGGTGGGTATTTATCCTAGTGCTTTCTAAGCTCATGCTGATGCCCCTCTATTCTGCGCTGTCCACCCTGTGCCTGTTTTGGGAGGAGCCCTGTTTTGGGCGCTTTCTTTGCTTTCTATTTGGATTGCTCCATAGTGCTGGATGAGACTGACTTCAGCCGTTTAAAGATAAAAATAAGGTGAAAAATACTTGATTTCTTTGGAAATAGGACTGCTTCTTGGTCTGGAAACCCCTTCTTTCCTGACAGCTTTATTTGGGAATGGTTTTTCAGTCTCTATTTTCAGCAGTAACAAACAAGTGAGTGTGAGTGTTTTGGTTGTTGCTGTGACCTAGTGTTAGACCATCACTACCTTTATCCCTCACACAGATTGAACATCTCATGACTACTGGAGTAGGAGAGGGGATTGTGAAAGAATGAATTTAGTACCATGATCAATCCTGAAACTATGGCTAGTCTTCATCCTTCAGTACTTTATAGCAGATGAATTCAGAGCTGCTGATGCAGCTGTAATACCTCCCCATCCTCTCCTCAGAGGAGCTTTGGTATTTACCTAATACAGCCTAATTATGCAGTAAATCCTTTTTGGCCTTTTGATCAGTGTTCAAATAACTGTGGGAGTGTGAATAATTTTCTTTGGAGAAAGGGATTTTAGAAGACTGAGAAACCTTCTTGCTGTTTCAAGAGGTGTTTCAGTTGGTATTTTTTTCCTGCCAGTTCAAAAGGATCCTGTTCTAGGACTAGGTGAGAGAAAGGTCTTTTCTGCTCTGAGAATCTCTGCTGCTGCTCTCACTTGCAGAATTTGATCTCCTTGTGTTGGCATTGTTTCTTAAGCGCTGCACTGGTCCCTGTGTCAGGTTCGGTGGCTCAGTCTCTGCTGGTGCACTTGCCTCTGTGCTCTGGCTCTGCTGCTCATGTTGGATATTTAACCTTAAACAGTGCTGGAGCCATTTATTTAAACAGGGCTCCCTTGTTGTGGCCTGCTGTGTGGCAGGCTCCTTGCAACTTGAGCAGTACCGGAAAGGATTTGCTACTTGGCAATTCCCAAGATCTTTGCGGAGGCAAAGACCATCTAGGAGACAGCTAGATGGGATGGCTCTATTTAACCGTGTGGAATGACAGCGCAGATGGCTGTGCTGCTTGCTAGCCTGGTCCAGGCATCGTGTATATAGTGGGCCCTCTCTCTGTGGTCTGGATCTTTCTGGTATGTTTCACTGTGCCTGTTTCTCGCTTCCCTGGAGAGTACCTCTAGAATTGGAGAGCTGCTCCTGGATCGCAGTTTGAACTGCAGCTGCCACATGTCCCTTGCATTTGGAATTTGTTTTGATTTAACAGTAGCAACAGGATGCAAGTCCTTGATTATGAGCTGGCAGTAAGTAAAGATGAGATGACGTTTTTGGCACTGGGGTGGGGGGGAACACCACTTCCTTTCAGTTAGGAGAAGTGACCAGGAAAGTTATCAAGAAAAAACTTTAAAACTTTGACATTGAACATGGTTCCTTCCTCCCTGCCCCCACTCCGTGCCTCCCCCCCCCTTATTTCCCTGTGGAAGGGTTGTTTTTTAGTACAGCTGAGACCTGACCTCTTCCATTGCTTCCTTAAATACTGCTGGAGTAGTCGGTCTGAAGCAAACTACCTTAAGGACATAGCCTTGGTGCTTTGTAGAATGGCCTTCCTTATAGCTGATGACTGGCTTCCTAAATACCTTTGAAGGATAAATTGCAGTCTCTTGTGCAAACCTGGTACGATACATTCTCCTTAGCATCCTAGGGAGATAGGTAATGGATTTGTGCTCTGTTCTGTTGTAGGACATGGATCCTCACTGTATTCATGGAGTACTGCTTCTGGTTGAAAGAGATCTGAGTTTTCGGATGGAGAAGCCGCCAGCAGGGCAGGTAATGGGACCATTCACCCAGGGTTGCTAGGGAGCTCTTAATATCCTCTATTTAACTCTCCAAACAGCGAGTTCTCTGTCTTTTGGTGTGTGTTTATTCTCACACGAAATCTCTGTAGTTGTTCTCTGTCATTTATGGTTGTGGTTTCTATATGTGGTGTTTAGAGGGTTGTAAAGTGTCTGTGGGCTGAACATATCTGTCATGCTGTGTTTATTGCTGAGTCCATCAGTGATGTTTGCACCATAGTTATGTCAATCTGCTGGGGCCCTCAAGACACTGGGGGTTTGTTGGGAACATGGATAGCTGCATGGAGGAGCCCTGCACAATTAGCAGTAATAGAAGTGCTTTTCACATTCTCCCCTTAACAAGGGGGGGAATCTTTGGTCAGGAAGAGAACTCCATTCTGTGAAGGTACTTGTTGCTTTCCTGGATTTTGCATATCTCGTATTTCCTCTCCTCATAGCTGCTGCTTTCAGTGGCTGAGAGCCTTGTGCAGGAGGAGATGTGTATGTGTGTGAGGTTCCCTTTGCAGTTGAAGTGTCTGGAAAGACTAACAGGAGGTGCTAATGGAGGAGGGAGAATCATCACAACATCACTCAACACCCCCACTAGAAGTAAATCTGCCTTGGTATTCCATAGCTGCAGAAGAAATGTAGGCTCAGTCATTCTTTGTGGTGAGTGAAGAGAACATCAGACTGCACCTTAGTCATCTGCCTCTGCTCTGAGACTGTTAGAAGCTACAAAAGTGGGCTGAAATTCTGTGCCTGCTGAAACCCTGCAGACTTTAGAGTAGGCCAGGACCTCTCTTTAGGCTCCTGCGGATGAAGGTATTGTGAATAACATCAGGTTATTCACACATCAGTGTGGTGTGCTGCCCCAAAAGGCTAACGCATAACAAATGCTATTAGTGCATTTCCTCGTTGCCTGCATGTGGAAGAATTTGAAGTGAGAAAGGGGACTGCAGGCATGTGCATGCAGGGAGAGCTACAGAAGACATTAAGCACACTGAAAAAATACAAAATGTGTAGGAGGGAACAGGACAAAGGCTAATAAAGATGCGGGCATGCGAGAGGAATTGGAAGCATCATCACTATTTTGTAAGGAGTTGGAAACTTCACAGTATGTGTGTGGGGTTAAATGTCTGCGCCTGAGTTCCTGGTGTCTGGGCTGGCTTCCGTGTACCTGCAGGAGCACTTGTCTGTTTCTCTGCTGAGTGTAAAAATGTTCTGAGGTCCTATAGACTCACAGAAGACAAGTTATCTGTGTCAGGATCCAGGAAATATTTGGAGCAAATAGCTGCTGTGAGGAGTGGAGAGTTGAGGGTAGGGCAGAGGCTGCTCTGTTAGACTGTTTTTCCAGGAAGTGAGATGGGGAAGCTGGGGCTGGATTTAACTTCTCGGACTCTCTAAACAACTGCGGATCGCAGCACAACGTGGGAACATGTGAGGGAGTTGCTGTGCTTACACTGGGAGGTACTGGCTCTGCAGAAGGCTGGCTGCTGCCAGAATTCTGTCACAGATGTTGTGCTTGGGGAAACAGCGTGTTGTGGCCTGCACTCCCTCAGGGTTCACCCACTAAACTATATAGCAAGCTGCTCTAAGATTGAATTGATTTTTTTTTTTCTTTGTATTGTAGAGATATTGCAGATATACACTGTATGCATTGTTTCTATACAAGATAGATAAATAAAGGATGCTGGGTTTTGTTAACCTTCCCCTCTTCCTCCAATACTCACACCCACTGCTTTTTTTTTCTTCTATTCCCATGCAGTTTGAACTTCTCACCTCCATGAAATCCCTCCATAAGCACATAGACAGCTCACAGCTGCCTCTGGAACTGGACGGGACCTTCCCTTACTGCCACCGGGACTGGTTAAGCTTCCGCATGGTGAGTAGGGTGTCTCGTGTTCTCTGGTATCTGAGAGAAGAAATGGCATGGTAACAGAGTTGAAGCAGGAGGAGCTTGTCAGCAGCTGAACCTACAAGCATTAAAAGACAATGGTTCCTGTAATAGCTATATATTCAGATGAATCTCTCTTATCAAAAGAATACTAATACTGTCTTCATAAAATGGGTGCAAGCTGTAGCCTATTGATGTGACTGCAGGAATGAAAACTTTAGTTTTTAACTCATCTGCTTGAACTGCATTAATTCAGATTTAACTATAGTTTGAATGGAAAGAAGAAACAGAATCCTGTTTTGTTGTGATATACAGTGGCACTTCAGTTATACTCTGAGTCTTAAGGGCTGAGCCTGCTTAAGCTAGCCTCAGGAGAAGGTGTGAAGTATTATGTTGCCACTGCACTAACTATCAAGAATTTGAGCATAATAAAAGTAGATGCTGTTGGTTTTGGAGCAGGTTCCCCAGACCAGGCTAAGAGCTCCTTAGTAAAAGCTGCAATCCTGGCAGGAGTGAAACTTGGACGTTCTTGTCAATTGGTTCAGATACTTCTAGGCACCTCTTCTTCCTCCTTTGGGTATAATTCACTTATTTACCAAAGGTGTCATCAAATATGAACTCTTTAGAAAACATCTAAACTAAAAATACAGTGAAGTTTCAGCCCAGGAAAACATTGTATTCCTCTGAAGCTGGCCACGTGAGGCGAGGAAACGAAAGAAACATGGAGATACCGCTTAGTGAGTTTCAGGACCAAGATAACAGGAGGAGGCAGTACCAGCAATCCGTTTATTCTCCCTGTTATTTGGCCACTTTGAGTATGCCTCAGTACCATGATCCTGTTTGACCTTTGCGCTCTTCTCCAGAGGAGCTGTGGATCAAGAGATCTACAGTGAACCGTACCCAGGTGCAGGTCAGAGCCAGTCCAAGATGCAGGGAGATTGACCACCCTGTGGAAATGTTTGAGCTAACCTAGGTTAAGCCTCAGAGAAGGGCTGAAACTGCAGCACCCAGACCCAGTTTATAAAGAAGGTAGCCCTGGCAAAGGGTGCTGCAGGCATCGATAAGGGGTGCTGCGGCCACCAATGCAGCCCACACTGATCCATGATGGACTGCAGGTGTTGCTGGCTGTGCAGCAGGGTGTGTGCAGGCTGCCATAAATCTGCGAAAGTAGCATCTGTGACACCAATACCCAGCTCTGTGCACACTTGTGCTGTGGAGAGAGTGTAAGTCCTGTGGATCATGTGCTTATTGAATCTTCAGAAGCTGTGTTGAGATGTTATTTGGCATGCCGAGACTAGACAGGATTAAATATATGTAAATCTGCACACAAATGGGTTGTCTGCCTGTTTTGATTGACTTGCTTAGGCTGGTGGATGACAGAACCATCGCCTCTGCTGCCGAAAGATTCGGTGGTCTGTTGGCTGTGATCTCATTGCCCAGTGCTGTGCAGCACACTGCAGTGTTTGAAGTGGGTTAACGTATCGTTGATAATACCGCTGCGTTGCTGGTGGCAGTTAGGTTTAGCGTGTGCCAGATGTTAACTTATCTTTTCCAACTTGTTTTAGAACCCATTGTTTTGAACTCGCATCTAGAAGTACTGCTATGAACCTGTGCAGATGCAGTAGTGGTACAGAAGCCTACTCTTGGTGCCTAGGATTGAATTTGAGAATTTGAGGTTTATCTGGCAGCGGGGAAGCAGAGAAGCTTTGCAAGAGGCTATGGATTACTTTTCTGGACAGAGTTGAGAAAAGCTTGAGAGCTGAGGTGCTCTGTCTGTGCAGAAGGATAACACTTGAAGGAAGGAGCATGATACCAGGCTACTTCTTGTTTGAGTCTTGCACCTTAACTTGCAAAATGTTACCAAAGGGATTTAGTGTAGGAATCAATCTGTAGGGGTTGCCTCTTTCTATGATGTACTGTGTGTGATAATGACCCGTATGCTCAGCCCCTTCATATCTGCAGCTATGTGGCAAACAGCATTTATTTCCCATCTCGGTGATCTCACCTGCATCCTGCCTGCTAATCTGTTGCTGCTGGCGCTGCTCCAGTGCTCCAGGGAGGGAAAGCAGTTCAGTAAAGATTCAAACAGCTGCTTTTTTTTTTGGTTTGTTTTGAGCACACTTCTTTTGGATTAGCTGTTTCCCTTCTCTGATTTCAGTGGCTAGAGGTTGGTGTCTGAGAGTATTTAGGCTTTATATCACTGACTTTTCTGGAGAGTACTGTCTCATGAACCGCTGTGAAATATTTGGAGGTTTAGTTTGTTTTGTTTTTCCCACCCTTCCCCTGACGAGAGGCAGGATTTCAGATTTGTCAGTAGTTTGAGGTGCTTAGTTGTGGAAGCTTTCCAGTTTCTGAATCTTTAATTTACACTACTTTTAATATGAAGAGAAGTTATTTAAAGTACAGAAATTCCAAGTACTTGTTCTATGTTTTGTTCCTCCAAAATTCATGCAGAGTGATTCATCTTAGTGGGAAGTTGCAAGAAATGCTAGTAGTAGAATGTGGGACATAAGTAAACCGATTGTCTTTTCTATAAAGCATGGCCCATACAAGCCGTGAGTATGCAGGTTTTATAAGGCCTGCAGAGAGGCTTTGGTGTAGTCATGCGTCTGAAGCCTCTGATGGTCCTCTCCTGGATGCAGCTTCACCAAATGGTGCAATTGAATCCTTGGGTTAATGCCTTTGATCCTCTCTTGATTTCTGTACTTCTAACCTTCTGCAAGTTGAAAAGACGGCTTTCTTGTAAGCTGTGAGACAATAATCTCTGCCTTGGTTATTTCATCTTGTAGAAGCTGGAACATTTGCTACAAGGATGCCAAGGTGCTTGTGCCTTTCTCCAGGGAGCCATTCATAAAGTGGAATCTGGAAAGTTACCGGAAAGAGCTGAGGTAAGTGTGGCTCTTGCCTCGTGTCAGAGGTGGGCCTGGGACAGGAGGGAGCAGGAGACTTGGATAGCTGCAGAGAAGCTGTAGCTTTGAATTTGTGGGGTATTCTGTGTGTCACTGTGAAGCTGTCAGGACAGCAGGACTGGCAGAAGCTAATCCAAATGAAGTGATAAAGGCTCTGCTGGGTGTAGAAGCTGGTTCTCTGATCCCTCAGTGTCCCCCAGGAGATCTCTTCAGCTGTGCTTGTGGCTGCTGGGTGCTTGCTCCAGCACTGGAGTGCATTCTTAGCAGCTCCACAGCTCAGTGGCTGGTGCTAGCTTCAGTGTCTCTAGAACTGAGCAGCTGCCCCACGCTGTGCCGCACCAGGTTGGCTTGGATGGCCATCATCTTTGAGAGGTCCTGGAGGACAGGAGAGGTGCCTGAGGACTGGAAAAAGGCAAATGTCACTCCAATCTTCAAAAAGGGCAAGAAGGAGGACCCAGGGAACTACAGGCCGGTCAGCCTCACCTCCATCCCGGGAAAGTTGATCGAGCAGCTTATCCTGGAGGTCATCAACAAGCAAGTGGAGGAAAAGAAGGTTATCAGGAGTAGTCAGCATGGATTCACTAAGGGGAAATCATGCCTGACCAATCTGATAGCTTTCTACGATGGCATGAC